AATGGTTTGGTCCAGAAAGGCAGGAGGCCATTCAAAGAGGGGGCTTTGAGGTTATAAGGTAGATTTAAAAAATTTCTGATTGGCAATTGATTAAAAGAGTTATTATCAAGGGAAAAGAATGTCTGAGTTACAATAAGAGGTTGTTGAGACCAAAGTTTAATCATGCTGATGAAGCCTCCTGGTAGCAGGCTTTAGAGAGAATAGACTGTAAATATTTCTTATCAGGCTTAAGGTCTGTGTTGATGTGAATGCTGGAGGGTATAATGAGGCATGTCCATCCTACTTCCCCTCAGGGCATGAACCCGTCTTTTAGGTTAAAGTTTAGAGTGCCCTGGCCTAGAGGGAAGGCCATTCAGATGGTTGGGGGACTTAGACTTTTATTTTTGGTTTACCACTTTAAAACAAAGTTTTCAAGCCTCATAAAATATTTGCTGTTGTTTTTACTTGGATTGTGTTATAGCAATACATGAACTCAGGCAGAACTATCAGCTTCATCATGTTCAGTCATCCAATCTAAAACAAGGGATGTTCCAGTTTACTTTTGTGTCTTTTAGGAGTGTTTCAAAGTTTTTCATGTATTGGTTTTGTGTATTTCTTGTTAAGTTTATTCTATACAGTCCATGCTCATTATTTACAAATTCCATGTTTGTGAATTCACTTACCTGCTTATGTTAGTCCATTCTCACATTGCCATAAAGAAATACTGGAGATGATTGGGTAATTTATAAAGAAAGGAATTTAATTAGCTCATGGTTCTGCAGGCTGTACAGGAAGCAGAGCATTATCTGCTTCTGGGGAGGCCTCGAGAAGCTTCCAGTTTCTTGGAAGTTTATGGCAGAAGGTGAAGAAGGAGCCAGGACTGACACGGCCAGAGCAGGAGAAATAGAGGGGAGGGGAGATGCTACATACTTTTAGATCTCATGAGCACTCAGTTTCTACACAGTATCAAGGGAGGGATAGTGCTAAATCATTCATGAGGACTTCATCTCCGTGATCCAACCACCCTCCAACCAGGCCTCTCCTCAAATATTGGGGATTACAATTTTATTTATTTTTTGAGACAGTCTCACTCTGCTGCCCACACTGGAGTACAGTGGCATAATCGTGGCTCACTGCAACCTCTACCTTACGGGTTCAAGCAATTCTCCCACTTTAGCCTCCCCAAGTAGCTGGGACTTACAGGCATGTGCCACGACATCCAGCTAATGTTTTGTATTTTTTGTAGAGACAGGGTTTTGCCATGTTGCCCAGGCTGGTCTTGACCTCCTGAGCTCAAATGATCCGCCAGTTTTGGCCTCCCAAAGTGCTGGAATTACAGGCATGTGCCACCACACTCAGCCAGGGATTATAATTTGACCGTGATTTGGGCCAGGACATGGATGTAAACCATATCACTGCTTAAACTTATTTGTAACCCCAAAATCAATGCTCAAGGCATGTTTGCAAACAGGTGCATTCTCAAAGCATTGAAAAAATCGGAGTCATCTACGGCCTTCTTGTTTTAGCTCTCCTACTGTAAACACCCTTATAGGGCTGGGCATTAGTATGTTAATGAGTCAGCAATATATATTAAGATTTCTTTAGGCTGGGTGCAGTGGCTCATACCTGTAGTCCCAGCACTTTGGGAGGCTGAGGTGGGTGGATTACCTGAGATCAGGGCTTTGAGATCAGCCTGGCCAACGTGATGAAACCCCATCTCTACTAAAAATAAAAAAATTAGCTGGGGGTGGTGGCCAGCACCTGTAATACCAGCTACGAGGGAGGCTGAGGCAGAATGACTTGAACCCTGGAGGCAGAGCTTGAAGTGAGTCAAGATTATGCCACTGCACTCCAGCCTAGGTGACAGAGCGAGACTCTGCCTCAAAAAAAGAAGATATCTTTGAACAGAAACACACATAAAACAAAGTTATACATTGATTAGTTGTGACCAGAGGCCTGCAAGAATCTAATCTTGTATGTCCCCAGGGGCAATGATTCAATATTCAGTGTTAGATGTAACTTTATAGAACATAACTACATGAATAGTGAGAATCAGCTGCATTTTATTTTCTTTGTTGTTATTGTAAATGAGGTTTTCACTATCAACATGTCTTCTAATTGATCATGATTTGTGTATATTGATTTCTATGTATTAAATTTATATCCTTCATCTCACTGAATTCTTTTGTTTGGATTAGTGTTATTGATTCAGGTTTTTCAAGGTGTTGGCTTTTATCATGTGCAAGCATCATTTTACTTCTTCTTTTCCAATTATTATTCCTCTAATTGATTTCTCTTGTTTAGTTTTGTTGGTTACAACCCACCCACCTTTTGTAAGGACAGTTTTTCATCTATGAGGAACTGCTCTGAGTTGGTAATGGACTGTGTCATTGAGCTGTAGACTACTAGAGTTAGAAAGGCTGCTTAGAAGTATGTAAATGACTCTCACTTGATGCACAGAATCTTTTTTACATACTTAATTGGTGATCCACTCTCTTTTTGAACATCCATTCCCTTTCTTCTGAAGAACATCTTTCTGTTTCAAGGATTCACTCTGTACCCAGTTCCACACAGTTCACATTTGGTTTTCAATCACTCCATCCCTATAACAATTACCAACTGCTCCTGGCTTGTGATCCACACCTACTATATAGGGTGGCCATAATATCTACGTACAAAGGTATTATTATTGTTGTATATGTCGGTGCGTTTAACAGATTGAATACCTTTTATTACTTCTGGTCTATGCTAAAAATACAGGTTTATTCAGCAAAAAACCAAATGCACAAATCATCTGAGGCAATGAATATATCCACGTGCACATTCAGGGATTTATGAAAATGCATTAATGTACTATTCCCATTACTCTATGAAGCCAATTATCTTTAAAGGAGATTCAAATAATAAGAAAAGAAAGTCTTTCATATATATACCAAGAGTTGCCATTTCTGGTACTCTTCATTGTCTGTGTCATTCCTGAGCTGATTCCAACTGGCTTTTCTCTTTTTTTGAGTTAGAGTCTTGCTCCAGAGTCGCCTCCTCAGTTCAAGCGATCATCCTGCTTTCCTTCCCTAGTATCTGGGATTAGAGGTGCATGCCACCACGCCCGGCTAATTTTTGTGTTTTTAGTAGAGACAGGATTTCACCATGTTGGCTAGCCTGGTCTAAAGCTCCTGAGTTCAGGCAATCCACCAGCCTCAGCCTCCCAAAATGCTGGGAAAACGTGTGAACCACCATGCCCAGCCAGGTTTTCTTTACTATGGGTTATTTCCCTGCTGTTTTTCATGCCTGTCTTTAAGCCAGTCTTTGATTGGATGTCAGACATTGTTTACCTTGTTGGATGGTGGATATTTCTGTATCCCTATAAATATCCTTGACCTTTGTTCTGGGACACAGGTATTTGGAAACAAGTTTGACCCTTCCCGGGCTTGCTTTTCAGCTTTATTAGGTTGGGACCATGGAAGCATTTAGTCAAATACCAGTTTTGCTCCACTATTGAGACAAACTCCTGAGCACTTTATCTGATGCCCCACAAATAATGTTTTCCACTTTGGCTAAAGGAAACAGGAAATATTCCCAGCCCTGTGTAAACCGTAGGAATTGTTCCTTGTAATCATTTTGAGTGGTCCTTTCTCTGGTCTTCCATAATTTCCTCACAGCCATGCACGTATTAGCCAGAGACTCAGGAGCGCCACTCCTCAGGTCTCCAGTGATCTTTCTCTCTGCAGCTCTCTCCTCACCAGCCCTGACCCTGGTAAACTCAGCTGCCTCCGTCTCCTCAGAATCCCAGTTCAACTCACAGAGGCTGCTGGGCTGTCTGGGTTCCCCCTCCCTATGCTGCAGCCTGGAAACATCCTCAGGAAGTGACTGGGACATGCATACGGCTCATCACATTTGTGTCTCAGAGATCACTGTCTTTGTCACCTGGCGGCCAATGTTCTGGAAAGTGTCATTACATACATTTTATCAGGTGTGTTAGTTGCTTTGGTGGGAGTGTAAATCTAGTTGCTGCCATTCCGTATTGGTTGGAGGTGGAAGTTCACTGATGTAATTGCAACTTTCCTTATCACACTGAAGTAGGCACTATCATTGAACATACCACGTGATGGCGTCATGCATTGTAATGCAACACCAATGCAACTAGTGTTGTACATATTTGCCCTGTAGTTATTTGTCTCTGCTCACACCCCCCACCACTAGATACTAGTGATTGTTCCAATAAGAAAGTGGAGATGAAGAGAATGAGATGGGTACAGAGGGAAGATAACCACCTTCCAAGTGTCTGCTGGCATCTCTCTGGAGGCTGGCAGGCTGTCAGCACGCAATTGCTTGTTGAATAATTGAATGAACACACACAGGCTCGCATGCATGCATGCATGAATAAATGAACCAATGCCTATGACTGAGTGGTTTCTAAAATGCTCCGCTGGTTCTCCAGACCAGACACCACGCTTCCTTCAGACCCTCACACCCTTCCTTCCTTCCAGAACACAGCTCTCATTAGCAGAGACTGCCCCAGAGCCTTCCTGCTGGGTGGGAACCTCTGAGTTCTGGGAGGCACGCTGCCTCCCACAAGTACTGTTCCTTGCCTTGTTTCAAACAATTCCCTCACTCTTCCATTCATTCCTCACTGCATTATTGTTTTTGGTGTGATGCTGAGCGAATATCCCTTATTTTTTCGACCATTTTAGAAGTGGATTACTCCTTTAATTTCTTCACCGTAACCCAGGCTACCCCTAGCTTTCAGGAATGTGAACGCCACTTTTAATTAGATTGTAAATTTTTAGAGTATCAGAACTCTGCCCTGTATGTTCTATTTGGAAAAAGCATCCAATATTTTTCCTAAGGATGATCTGTACTCTATTTTCTAGTCTTAGGGATCTTACTGACTAGAAAAAGGAAATTTGGTGATATGATTTCATTTTTGAAGTTAGTAAACACAACTAAATACTTTGATATATCATTGCTAAAATGTGTTCGGAGAAAAATGGTAACAAATAAACAATCCAACAATCCAGTGGTTTTGAAATGTTTCCAATGTAAGAGTTTTTATTCTGGTTTCGCGCTCAATTAGAGATACCTACAACAGACTACAGAAAAAAAGAATTAGGAAAAGCTCAATGAAAATGTCAGAAAACAATAAAGTAGGGAATGTTCAGTCTTGCAGACCTTAGACACGCTACCAGGTCTGAATTTCAGTCCTAACACTGGGTGATGAAATCTCTAATTTAGATGTGATACTTAATTTAAAACAAGAGTACAGGCTTGGATGCTGACTTATGCTGACTTCTAAACAATTTGAAAGTCCTGTGACAATCGTCTTTCAGGTTAAAACTTCTGGGGGTGGGGCGTCTACCAGAAGATGGAATACAATTTTGTGAGTACAGGGGAAAACGGGATAAAGAACAGTCCAAAAAGCCAGAACCAATGTTGTCAAGTGGGTAGGAGAGGCAGTGGGGATGAAGGCGACAGGAGTCTTTGCTACAGACAGGGCAGGCAGGGGTGGCACGGAGGGTGGCATTACCTCAGCAGAGGAGCCAGTTGCAGTGTTGAGGCTGAGGTCTGGGCAGCCTGGGAGGACGCTGGTCTCTTTAACATAGCTGCCACCAGACGGCCTTCAGGTCAGTCCTTTGCTGCTGTGGATGGCTTTGAGAGTACAGGGCAGGGCTGCTGGAGGTGGAGGCGTGGCAAGGATGGCATGGCTGCTGAGTCTAGACACCCGGCCGAGGGGAAGTGGAGGTGGGGCGTCTGGGGAAGCGAAGGTCAGCATTACTTAAGGATGCTAGGATCTTTGCTGCACTGGAACCTAAAGAGGCCCAGAATCTGGAGGATGATGTCAGGTGTGCTAATCTTGAAAGGGATTTCAGGGTGTTTCCAAGATAAGTGATGTTGTGTCCCTCATCCCCAACCAAACCTTGGGCTTGGGCTATGTCCCAGGGCAGGACCCAGGGGACCTGGTGCTGTGGGAGGAGCGGCCCGAGTCCGAGGGTGCCGCCTGCTGGAGAGGTGGCTGCTTGGCGGGGCTCTTTTTCCTCCTGGGCTTCTCTTGTCTTGGCTCTCTGGAATCCTGCGTGTCTGCTTCTTTCAGTGGCCGGTGGAGGAAAGCAGAGCTCCTCATCTCCATATCCTCTCTAGAGACAGAGAGAGATCAGGGTTACCCGGTCTTGATGGCTGCGGGGTCTACAGAGATGGCCAACCCATCCCTACTGCTGCTTCTCAGCCCCTTACCCATGTCCCTCTTCCCATGGAAAGGAGTCTCTGGAGCACTGTGCATGCAGTGCTTTAGGCTGGGCTTAGTTCCACTCAGTTCATTTCCACCAGCCTTTGGTATCTGGGAGCCTCCCAAGGCAGCGAGAACTTGAATATGCAGACCGTCCTGACCAAGCCAGTGAAGGAACAACTCCCAGCCCAGAAGCCCCTGGAAACACCTCAGCATAGACCTGTGTCTGCCCCAGCACAGCCCAGCTCATCCCTGAACTGGAGATTGTACATCAGAGATATTCTTTCACACCCTGAGTTCCTCTAATGACTGCTATCAGAAACGGTTTCCCAAATGTCCAAAATGGTATGATTTGTAATGACATTGAACTTAGGAATAACTATGAAGTCACAGAGCTAGATTACTATTTAGAAAACGCGCTGACAAAGCTTATTTACCCAGAAGTGCTGTCCTTCAAAGAAGGCATCTTGGGAACACCATGACCTCATTCCAGCCATGCTACCACGTTGGGAGCTCACCTTTTATCAGGGCCTTCAGGGTAATTTAAGAACATCTGCTGCCCAACATTAAACCTTATTTTGTTCCCATAATCAGTATTGCCTATCTTGATCACCCTGCCTTCACTGTGAATAATTTTTTGTTTTGTTTTTACTCCGCATAATTTCTGACTATTACTGCTTCAGATTCTTCTCGAAAGTGTCAGGGAAAAAAGTGCAATAACATGGAAATTGAGTTTTTGTTATTTCTAAATAGAAAATGCCATCATTCAAATCCTTTGTGAAAGAATCAAGATTCACTACACACGACAATTTTCAAAGATTGGCTCAGACTCAGGAGACAATTCGCAAAAGAGATTAGAAAATTGGCCTGGGCGACAGCAGTGACATTGGAAAAGCTTTTCTGGGAGGCCACAGACGAAAATCATCTTTAAATCTGAGGCCAGTGCTTACGTAGATGTATAGGTTCTATGATAGCAGGTTCTGAGAGACGTCTAGGAATCATGCCTCAACATTGTATTTACCATCCCTGTTCTGTGAAGCCTAAAATCTTATCCATCACGTTACCCTCAACTATCCCTCAAATTGCTACCTTCCTCCAGAGTAGCGTAAGTTGACACATTCTGGTTCCTTTTCATGGTTTTTCTCTATTTGCCATGAATTAGGATCCATGATTGCAGTCCAGTCCCTAAGCTATAATCTCTCAGAAGAAGGAGTGACAAGAAGGGGGTGTGAGAAGAGATTTTCAGGCACTAAAGGCACAGAAAGAACAGGGCAGAGGAGACACCTACCCACCTGCCTGGTGGACTTTGGGAAGAGGAAGAACAAGACAGACCCAGGAGCAGCGTGTGGACAGCCCTCACCTAGGGGACTGGTCACTCAACTCATGTACCACATATATAATGGAATTCTAGTGAGGCAGTAATGAAACAAGAGGTGACACTGTCACAGAAAGGTGCAAATGACAAGTTATTTGGAAAAAATATACGTGGAAAAAACATTACACCACACAATGCATATTACATCTTCATTTTTGTCATGAAAATTGTGAATCCATAAGGATGACTGGAACCCTTGCACTAAACTATTCACAATCACTCCTGGAAAATGAATTCCAGTAGAGCTGTCACTTTCTTGACATTAAAAAAAGCTGCAATTGTCATACATGATAAGGAGAAAAAAATACAGCTTTTTGATATAAGCTGATATCAGCTTACGGTGAAACGAGAATCAGCACAGTGGGGAAGACACTGTAGAAGGATCTATACCAAGGTAAAAGGACTGGTGCTTACTTTCAAAAAGTGGGACTATGGGTGGTTTTTGTATTTTTTCCACTTGTTTTTAATTTAGAAATTATATCAACTATGCATTACTTTTGTCATAAGAATAAAGCAGTACAAGTCATCATGATTAGTACAAAAGCAGGTAGGAGTTTTGATCAAGGAAAAGTCTTGACTTGAAGCAAGCAGATACTGCTTGGCTTCTGTATTTCATGCTCCAGGACAGTTGAGGTCAGTCAAGTTCAAGATTTTTCACAAGGAAATGTCTCCTTATGGGAGGGGTGAGAGCGGGAGGCAGGGTGGGTGTGAATCTGATGTGAAGGCCTCTGCCCCACCCCTGTGCCCACACACCTCCCTTTCCTATCTGACCCAAGCTCATCAGTGGAAGGGGGAGGGCCACCAGGGTCCTAACCTCCAGCCAGGGGGGTTCTCCACCAGCACTCCTAGAAAAGACCCGCTGAATGGCTTTCTTTTGCCCAGTCTCATGCCCAAACAGAGTTCAATTAGGTGCTCTATTAATTATGTTAGGCTACAGATCTGGTTGAATAACATGATCAACCTATGATAAATATGTGTGTGTGTGTTCAGAGCAGGGCAGCCAGGTGCTGTGCTAGTGCCGCTTCTGGGAAGAAAGTGCTGAGTGCCCATTCCACGCCCTCCTGGGGTCAGAACCCACCCCCGTCACTGGATAAAGCATCGTCAGCTTGTCAGTAATCCTGCTGGATCCCTAAGGTCTCGTTTGTATTTTTCCCTAAGTGTCTCTCTCAGCAAGTCTGTCTTAGAACATAAAGAACAAGAGGACCCATGGAGTAGGCACCAGCAGATGTTTGGTAAAAACCGGGAGGCCTTTAGAGTTTCAACAACTGAAGGGGAGGAGAATGAAGGGACTGAGAAGCAGAGGCTGTTGCTATCTGAATCGCTACTGCTGGTCCTCAGGGCTGGGGAATTTCTGTGACTCCTTGTGTCCCCTTGTCCCAAGTCGTAGGGCACCACTACATGCTTCCTGAACGTAGGCAATGGCATGTGTCTTCTGAATTACACAGGACACTCACAGACAGGGTTTGTTGCTGAACTGCAATTTTTTCAGGGCTTTGTTCCAGCATAATAAATGGGCTCCTAATCTGACCAGAGGGGACGAAGGGAGCTAATGCCATCAGAGGCTTAATGATTTCAAATGCACAGATCCCTCTTAGGAGAAAACTGTCAGGAGTGACCAGGCAAGATTAAGGGGAGTGATTCATCTAATGTCATGTCAGAGGCAGTGCTGAATCTTGAAGTTTCAATCAATGACTTAATTTCCCTGATGTCAGGAGTCAATATGAGTCCACAACACTACACAGGGTCGAGGCAGGAGTATTAAACACTGCAGACACGATCATTTCCATTGGGACATACTCCCAAATCCAACGGCTTCATGGAAAGTTACTAAACTGCTCAAAAGAGAGATAATGAGAGGCTAATATTTTGTGTAACAGGAATTGGGGGAACAGGAGTTGACCAGAGATCCAGACAAACCCCACCTGGCCCTGGGAGGGTCTCTCTTCCTGCAGACTCACACATGGCCATGTCCTAAGACCACACAATGACCCTCAAGCAGCAAGAGAAGAACATGCCTCACCTCCAGGGCTCCAGAGCCCAACAGCTTCCTTCAGATGCCTCACAGATTCTCTGGAGCACAGAGGAAATGGTGAGCCCCAATTTGCTTTCCTGATATCACATTCGGAATGCTATTATTAATTTTTTAAAAATAAATCATACACCCTCTAAAGAGACTTTTTTTTTTTTTTTTTTTTTGAGATGGAGTCTCGCTCTGTCACCCAGGCTGGAGTGCAGTGGCGCGATCTTGGCTCACTGCATGCTCCACCTCCCGGGTTCAAGTGATTTTCCTGCCTCAGCTTCCTGGGTAGCTGGGATTACAGGCACATTCCATCACAGCCGGCTCCTTTTTGCATTTTTAGTAGAGGCGGAGTTTCACCATGTTGGCCGGGTTGGTCTCGAACTCCTGACCTCAAATGATCTGCCCATCTTGGCTTCCCAAAATGCTGGGGTTACAGGTGTGAGCCGCCACACCAGGCCAAGAGCCTTCTTAAGGAAGAATCTTGAAGGTAATTTGTCCAAGTCATGCTCTGTTAAGGGTGAGGAGAGGAAGGATTCTAGCTCATTCGGGAGAGATTTCTAGCTAGTTAGGTGGCGCCAGGTGTGTGTGTTCAGTTCAGGTGGCCTGAGACCCCAGTCTTTGGGTGGTTGAGTAACACCTGCTAGAGGCACCTCTCTCCAATGGAAAACACCGACAGCTGGAGCTCAGACCCACGTGGGTCTGAGACCACCAGGTGCCTCCCCCTGCCCTGCTAGAGGCTACAGTCCTCTGTTGGGGAAAAGATGCCGGGGCAGGCAGTCAGGGAAGAACTTGTTCTGTGAGTCCCCTGGCCTGGCAAGGAGAGAGGATGCCAAATGGAGGAAAATCCCCCCGTTCTGCCAGCTTCTTGTACCACATGGGAGAAACTACACACGTATTCTCTGAATGGAGGGAGTTATAGACAAGATAAGCACCAATTCCTTCGGAAAAGACATCTCTGATGCCATGGAATGTAGCAGAAAGCTCAGGCACACTCCTTAAGGGAAAGGAAGAGCAGTCATTTCCTCCCTCGGACATTGTCTTGGAAGACATGCCTCTCAGCTGTGTGTCAGAGAATGGCATCGTCAGGCTGCAAAGGAAAGAGAAAATCTACACCCACATCACTGGTTTCACATTGCAAATACGGCAATACCAACATCCCCTCCTTAAAGAATGAGTCATTTGGAATTTAGCAATATTGATAACATATTTTATAAGACAACCTTGTTAAAGTATTTAAGAATCATTTAGGTGTCAAATTTTAAGTTGAAAATGAAAATGTGCATCAGCTTTTGCCATGTTCAATCAGTTTTGAGCTCTTCAGCCTCCAAATGCCTTTCTTCCTGCCTTTCACTGTGCCCCATCCTCACTTAGAAGCCAGAAGAGCAACCTGCAGGAAAGGCCCCCAGAAAGAAGGAAAGGAGGAGCGGGGGAAGACAGAGGCTTGTCTGGGCCCAGGTATCCCCTGTCTTACCCTGCAAGCAGACAGTTATAGTAAATTCCATATCTGAAAATTAAATTTCATCAAATAATGTTCTATTGGAGATGTAACCTACAGTACATGCCTTTAATAGCCTGTGAAGGAAGCATCAGGCGTTTCTTTAGATGGCCTCATTTGGAATAGTGGCATGAACGCTCCCTAAGGAACATATCTGTAAAGTAAGTGAGAAAGAACTCCTGAGGAAAGGATCTACCAGAAGAAAATCCCAGCGTTGTTACAAAGTCAGACCTACACCTTCATTCTTGTACTCGGTTCTCCTAGTCCTGATCGTAGAAGCAAAGACAGGTTAAGCTCTGAATTTAACAGGTTGAATGTGACCTCTGCTTAAGAGAACTAAGCTCAGTCTCTTGCTCCCACAGAGGCAGCCAGAACAAAAAAGAGTGGAAATTACAATGGGGGACGAGGGAGTCAATGAACACTTCCACTGTGTGAAGCCCAGAAGAGAGAGTTAGATAATTCACAGTGCAGAGCTTTAAATAAAGCCTGGGGAAGATGGAAAACAAAGGCTTTTCTCAACATACAAAGAACTGCATTTTCATTCTAAAATAATAACACTGAGTTTGGTAAAAATGGGCAATAGCTAGATACATCTGCTCATGTTCCTTTATAAGGAGCTGTAATTTGGACGTCATAGGAACCGGAAGCCAGACCTGCAAGGACCGTTGTCAGAGCAGAAGTTTGAGATGAACAGAAAATATGCTGCTACTTTCAATGAAGTATCATGCCCATCGAGACAAAGAATGAACAATTGCAGCATATGTTTTTGGTAACCACAGCTAAGGAAAGGTTCTCTGTAGAGCTGCACACCCCTAGAGGAGTGTCACTGGGCATCTGCTAGCATCTGTTTGTATACTGATTTGTTTTTCAAATAGTCGTTGGGGGCGTTCTGTGAGCTGGACCCTGGACACTGGGATTCAGAGGCAGATAGAACCTGTCCCCTACCTTCAAGGACTTGTGCCTACAGAGTCCAATGCAAAGGAAATTTTCTTTAACGGAAACCTCTACAGGTTGCAGTGGGACCACCTCACCACATGTTGGCGGGTGGGGGGAGTGGCCTGGGGTGCTGGGACATCGAATGGTGGTGCTGATGTTTGAGCTCAGTCTTGGAGTTCTCCAGGTGGCCAAGGGCAAGAAATAGTTTTCCAGAGAGAATACTTAATCTGGTGGAGGGAGAGACCTGAGAAAGCACGGTGTGGGCAAATCCCACACATAGGATTAGAGTGGTTCATATGCAGAAGGCACTGGCGGGTGGGCTGGAGGTGGCTAGGGACAGATGAGGCAAAGCAGTCAGGCCTGGGCCAGACCAGCAAGATACTAAGCTGGGATAAGAAGGGGTGATGGGGACAGGGCTCTGAAGGATTTTTAAGTGGGGAAGAGGTGAAGGCAGATTTGCATGTGAGGAAGTTGATTCTGCTGAGCCTTCTGACGAGTGACCGGGACTGTGGCAGGAGGAGGCTGGGGGACATGAGAGCTCCTGGCCAGTTAGGATCACTGTAACCTGGAGACCAAGGGGGCGTGGTAGGTGAAGAGCAAGCAGCAGCCAAAGATGATCACTGATTTTCTGGCTGTACAGCGCCGTGATTTGTGGGTGAAAGGGCGAACGGAGATGGAGAAGGCTGAGACAGGAGCAGGTTTGTGGGGAACTGCTATTTCAGTTTCAGATGTGCTAAATTTTTGAGATTCTACTCAGGAAGAAATATCCGGTGGGTGGCTGGAAATAATGCTATTTCCACAATGTGCCAAACGCCTGCCAGACAATGACCAACCCCATCTTCACACCACCACCATCTTGCAGAAGACCTCATGACAGCAGGGCTGGGAAATAAAGCCGATTTTGGTTCCAGTGCTCTTCCCCTATAGTTACCCAACATGGCTGCACCTTGCAACCAGCTGAGGGTGGGGGGGCTTTCAAAAAATCCATCTCAGGGACCATGCTCGGATTCTGTGACTGTGACTGCACAAGCACAGGAGAGCAGCCCGGGTTGGGGAAGGAGACATGAGGTCCTTATGAAGAAAGAAATTAAATAACAGCAATAAGAGTAAAACAAAACCTTATAATGTGTAGTTGCTATATAATAAAGTACATTTTGCTGCTTTGTGTGCTGTTTAACATGATACCTCCCAGCTCTGTTTCAGGCAGAATAACTGCCTTCCTGCAAACCACTGAACCTGATCTATCCTCCCCACATTCTTAGCAAAGTTCCCAGGCATCTAAAAAGTCCTGTTTTTCTTTCTAACCAGCTGCAAGGTCACAGAACAAATAAAAACTGCAAAATGTGTCTCTCACAATGTTGCTTTTCAAATGCAAAGTATATCACAAAACGTGTTACAAGGTAGTTAAGTGCTCTTCGTTCTGGCTTCTGTAAACCCGCGTCCTGCTTTCTCAGCCTGTACCACCTAGGTACATAAAAGGCACCCCATTTTCTTTGTCCTTTGCTCAAAATTAAAAAGCCATTCCACTAAGCCTGTAATCACGTTAAATAAAATCCTCCTGCAACCCCATCGCTCTCTCCAAATCTCTCACTTCCCACTACACTTAGTGTGAAGGGAGTCATAGAGGCAGTGGGTGGCTGTGAAGTCAGGCAGGGAGAAAACCCAGAGAGGTGGAACCGCAACAAGCCTAAGAGGAGGGGTTAGGGCAGAAGGGTGTGGCTGGTGGTGTCCGAGGGGACTGCAGGAGCAGGCTCAGTCAGTGAGGGTGGAGCTCACCGGTGCAGCCCAGTAAGAGGTCACCTCTGGCCTCTGTGGAAGGAGTTTATTGGAGGCGTGAGAGCGGACGCTGATACCCAAGGCTCAGGAATGAACAGGAGGCAGGAGAATCTCTCCAATGGTGCATGGAGCCTGGCAGTGAAGGGCAGGGAGCCTGCTGGCTCACGCTGCAGAACCGAGGGAGAGGGATTCATTTAGGAGTGTGCATGTTTGTGGGTGCTGCATGTGTGTGAACAGGAGGCAAACCTGTGTACTTGCGGAGGTGAAGGACTCAGTGAAGAGGAGGTAAGGAGGGAGGTAAGAAGAATCCAGGGATCACTGATGAATCCAGGACTTGAGGCAGTGGAACATGGGCCTCTAGAGCCCAGTGGACAGACTGGCCTGGGGTGAAAAGAAGGACACCGATTCTTTGACATCAGGGCAAAGGCAGAGACTTCCATAAGCCCAGAGCTGGGAGATCAGAAGTGGAGGGAGAGGCTGTCTAATGATTCTGTGATGAAGCAGAAGGTAAGGCCATTGGGAAGAACGAAGGGTAGCACTCAGAGACAGCCTGCAGACTCTAAGAGAAACTGGAAGATGTTTCCTGGGTCCTTGTCCCCAACACGTGCTCAACATCCACCTTCACCTCTTTTTGTATGCCCTTGACTACAAGGTCATGGCTCCATGACCCCAATTTTGATGCCCCTCATTGGACCCATGAACTTGAGTTTTTGTTTGCCCTGTAGGCCCCCCCCCTTTCCTTCTGCCTTGTCTTTAGTCCACCTTTACAGCTCTTGGCAGTCCTACTGCCTCAGCTGAAAATGTGTTCACCCCACTGCAGCCCTGGGAAGCCACCGCCCACCTATATGCTGACCTGGCTACAGGCAAGCGGGGCTAGCCCCTCGCTCCCACCTCCCAGCAAGGGGAGAGGTAGGGAGGTGACTGGACCCAAATGCAATTTAATTAGAAGTCCTTGAATCTTTACAGATAAAAGGGGAACAATTCCTTCATATTCATCACATATTCATGAATACTTTTCTGAAGGGTCAAATGATGTTGAATTTGAGATTAGAACCAGATGAATAAATAGCAGGTGAAAGGTTCACGTGATGTTGAAGTGACAATATCACAGAGCTACATTTTAAGCAGGACATTCTCCATCTCTGCTTTTCTTCCCTAGTATTAAGAGGTCATGGATCTCATCTCAAAAACAGATTAAAGGTGCAAGGATACAAATTAATATTCAAGAGATAAAAATTGAGTACACTTACACTTTGGGATCCTCAGGAATTGGGGGTGACTTTATATGAGAGCAGGAGAGCGCATACTTGTTTTGGCTGATCTTAATAAGTGCACTCCGAGGGCAAAATTCCTGTAATAATACCAACAGATTTCACTCAATTTAAATCAGAAATGTCCACAATTCAGATATAATTTTATTCTAGCTCAACCCATTATAATAGCTTCTAGTCATTATCCTATTCAGGGTGACACTTAAAAGAGCAGTTTAAATTCAGAACCTCACTTGATAATTATTTGCTGAATAAGTCATCATTGAGTTCTCTCTGTCATTTCTCCATATTCTGGATCAATTTCCAAGTGTACCCACAGAAGACATACACACACACACACACGCACACACGCACACACACACACACACACAGCTTCATATAACCACCTTCCTTTCTATCTTTATTTCAGCCTTTGGCCACCACTTTTGCTGAATGCCCCACCTTCAGCCTCTTTGGGTCCCCCCAAGTTTCTATCAGAACTATCTCCAGTATCCTTCCCCTTGGCCACGCCCCTGTAGTCTCCAGGGCCCCACGTCCCCCACAACCTGTAGGTAAATTCCAAGGTCTTTTCCTGGGCTCTGTGGCTTCCCCTTAGGGATCCTGGGCCAACTGCCTCATCTCTCCCTGCACCCTGGGGCATACGTGGGGACATCTCCTAAAACATCCCTCCCTCCCTTTCACAGTTGATATCCCCAGAGCAGTGCCACATGTCAGGAAGAGGAAGCCTTCCCCATGCTCTGTCCTTCCAGACTGCTTCTCTACTGCTATCCAGACAGCTTCAGGAAACTCCATTTTCTCCAAGGGTTTTTTTTCTGGGTTGATGAGAGGACACCTCCTTTTCTGCTTTTTCTGTTGGGTGGATACAGTGCTCTTGTGGCTGCTGGCTCTGATGGGCTTTCTCCTTTGCCCTTAACCATAAAATTCATTTCCCATACCCCTCTCCCTGATGTAACTACCTGATACCGTGGTCAAGGATGCCCTGGATATTTGTATTCCGTATTCTAGGCAGCTGGGCACGGTAATATAGAGGGCAGGCCATGGAGCCAGATTGTCTGCACCCAAACGCCTGCTCTACACACCAGGTGTGTGCTTTAACCGCTTGCTTCAATTCTTTTTCTGGAAATCAAGATAATAATTGTCTCTACCTAATGGTGTTCTGAGGATCCAAGTGTCCACTCTGCAAAGCACTTGGACTGGAATGCATGGCACATAGTAAGGGCCTAAGAAAGTTAGCCACTGTTACCTGGCTTTTTGCTCACCAATCAAGTTCATTTATTGGTCTGTTTTCCAGGCATATTAAGTCTTCCATCAAGACAATTTCATTTTCTATTAGGAATATCATTCATTCAAGTAATTAAAAAAAATTGTGAGACCCTTCTCTTCATCAGGGGCTGTGCTGGGAGGGACAAAGGTGAATAGACGTGGTCACTGCCTTTAAGGGTTGAGAGGCTGGTGGTGAAGGCAGTTTGGCAAGGGCAGTGCAGTGGACAGGAGGAACTTGATGGCCCTGCAGGAAGTCACAATCAGGTGGAGTCTTTAGGTGACAGGAGTTTAGGGGAAAGGAGATGGGAAGGGCAGTCCAGGAAGAGGCAAAAGCCTAGGGCTTGGAAAAGCCCACTGCATTCAGGAAGCAGTGAGCCTTCCATCTGGCTGGAGGTCAAGCTCATGGAGCAGGCTGGGGCCACACTGGGGTCCTGGGGGGATTCTCCCTGAGGGTGACTCGAAGCATGTGTGTGGGTTGGGAGGAGGCAGGGGATGTCAATCAGGCAAACTTCATCATCAGTTTTGTAAATGAATAAAGAATTCTAAAACTTTTAGAAAAATTACATAGAGAAATACATAATTAAGGAAGGATTTCTTAAACAAATATAGAAAGGGCAGTTCATAAATGAGAAAAGGGATAAATTTGACCATATTAAAATTTAATGCTTCTCTGTCAACAAAGATTCCAAAGTTAAAAGACAAGTAACAGACGGGGAAAAATACTGGCTGCATATATTACCAAGAATTACTACCCAGAAGACACAGAAGACCTCCCCAGTCAATAAAAAAGTCAAATGATCCAATAGACAATATAGACCCTTAACAAACATCTGTCCAATGAGCAAGTCAATCTAGAGATGACACAGTTATCACAGTCATTCCCACTCACTGGCCCTGGGGAGTGCAGACGGAAGGGAGCTGGGTGATGTGCTAACCTCTGCAGCCACTTCACCACTCCGTTACCCAACACCTGCCTGTCAGACACACAGATCGCTTACGTGTCTTTTCTTCAAGCCTCACACTCACGCTGTAGAGTATACATAGACACATATAGATATGTAAAATATTCATTTTATATGTGATCAAACCGATCACAGGGGGTGAAGCAACCTACCCAGGTCAGACAACCAATAAAGAGCAGAGTGAATGTTCAAATAACTCTAACACAGATCTTTTGATTGGAAAGCCTGTGTTCTTTCCACTCGATTCCATTTTGTCTCTGTCCGCCCTTATGTCTCCCAACTTCTACCAACTCTGGAGGTGGTTTCTAAGTAAGTAGGAGATGGGGAACCAGGTAGTAACACCCCAATACGGGGACACAGAAGAGAAGAAGGTGCTTGGGGAAAGGGGGTGCATTGGCTTGTGGAGTCTGAGATGCCTGTGTTTACCCTGAGGAAGCATTCCAGGAGGACCCAGCTAGAAGCGCAGGGTTGGAGCTCAAGGCAGGAGCACAGGGCTGGCACTTCTGGCACAGAGGAGACGTCCAAAGATGGAGGCTGACTTCGAAAGATACCAGGAGGAGGCAGAAGAGGACAACACTGGGAGGGGCCCAGAAGGTGCCCAAGTCTGCAGGGTCAGCAGAGGAGCACAAGGAAGGGGCAGTCTAAGCAGGAGGATGAGGAGGATGAGGAGGACGGAAACCGAGAGAGAGTGGTGCTACAAGACCCTACAGTGAACCTGCCCCTCCATCAAATGCAAAGCACGGTTCAGCAATGAGAGCCAAAGGACCACACAGAGGGCATCGGAGGCCACGGTCGCCTCAGTGAAGGCAGGGTGTGTGGCACAGTGGGCAGAAGCCAAAACACAGGGAGTAGAGAGTAGGGCAGCAGACACAGCCAGGGAAACCATTCATCAAGACGCCTGGAAGTGCCAGGAAACAGCTTGGCACTGCCCAGGAGAAAGTCCTTTTCTAAATGAGAATCTACTTACTCTCCGGTTGTTACACTTCAAAACCGTGTAGAATTTTTCTGCATCCACATGCTTATTGGGAAGTGCTATGACAATGGCCGGGACGTAGAAGTCAAATCCTTTGGGTATCACTGATTTTGGCAAACACGTAATCTCCAACCTGCAGAGATTAAAACATACAGTAAACGTTTTGCTTATGGATTGTACAGATAATGTTAATATAAGCTCATTTTAAAACACTCCAAGGCAATTGGCAATTACTGATGCTAAAATTCAAATACGTATTTTTTTTTTCTCAGTTAAGAAAGAATTCCAACATTGGGCCGCGTCTGAAATGTTGTGATCAGTTTGGGAAGCCCCATTTTAGTAGGACTTCAACAACTGACTAGGGCCCAGGGAACAAACAGCAAGATGGGGAGGTTCTGGAAACCACATCCCAAAGAGAGTAGTTGAAAGAACCTGGGGTGTTTGTCATGCAAAGATAAACAGTGTCCTCTGCCAGAAGGGCTGTCACCAAGATGTAGGAAGGGAGAGGTCTGTTTAATGATGCTCCAAATCACACACCCAGCATCCACAGGTAAAAGTCGCAAACAGAGAACTTGCAGCAGAAAGAGTATGCTGTGGAGAGACACGCAGAGGCTGTGGGCCCTTGTGTGTCGTCAGGGCACAAGAGCACTGCTGTGGGCCAGGGCTCTGACTAGGAAGAAAAAACAGAGGCCCGAGGATGAATTCTTGGATTCCTCCTCCAGCGCTTCTCCACTGGGCTAACATTGGGCGAAACACAGCAGTGGGGTGTTCTGCAAGGATTGCCCTCTACTCCTGGGCCTTGGAGCTGGAATCAGGATAGCGGCAAGAGAATGAAACAGACATGGCACAGCTTTTGATGCGTCTGTGAGCAGATGAGAACACATTAGTCTGGCTCATCTGAGGCAGGAGAACAGGGTATGGCATCAGGAAACTTAAGGTCAATTCGGGCTAACTTTCGAAAGCTGAATCAAGGGAAAGTACCAACACCTGGGGGCAGGGAATCTGGGGCCACTTCGTGATAATTTCCTAAAGATAAATCAAAGGGAAAACATCTGGGTCTGGGGGCAGAGAACCTAAGGCCAATCACCACAAACTTCTAAAGATAAACCAAAAGGAAATACCTCGTCGCCCACACCCAGTAGCAAAGGATCAAAGGCCACTCTCCCTGCAACCCTGCCCTTCCACCCTGGCTCAGAGGGAAAGGGAGTGTGCCCTGGATTGGCCTTGGGCGGCAATTCACCTCAGCCTTTAATTAGCCACAGACCAAATCCTTCATCCAGATAAGGGGTAGTTAGAACCTCAGAAGGAGTACTTAAAACCCAGAAATCTTTGTAACAGCGCCCCTTAGCCGCTTGCTCGGGCCCATTCCCACGGTGTGGAGTGCTTTCTCACTTTAATAAATCCCTGCTTTCCATTCCTTTGTTACTTTATTTGTGCATATTGTTCAATTCTTTGTTCAAAACACCAAGGACCTGAACAACTCACACTCAGGGCCTTTCTTCCGGTAACACATGAGTGGAATGCGCATTTGGGGTAGCTGTGCATTACGGTATCACCATGATATCAGCTGACTACAGTGCCAAGGAAAGTGCTACCTCTGCCCTTGTTATTATATATTATATTATAATATAATATTATGGAATAGAATAGAATCTTTTGCAGTTAAGAGTGTCAAAAGTACTGGCCGCTACAGCAATGGCTTTTCCCCAACCATCTATTGTCTTGCAAAGGGACAAGGACCTCAAGGCGCAATGCGAGCAAGCCTGTGCAGCCCTGAGCTACGTGACAGGGAGTCGGCAGGTCAGGGTCACGAGCAAAGAAATTGCAAGGCAACAGGTCCCAGAACAGGGGCCACTGTTCTTCCTGCCCAAACACACCCTCGCTGCAGGAGCCCGCGTAGGTTTAGCAAAGGGCCAAACAGAGGTCTTGGTATCCTCTGTTATCCAAAGGTCTGTGGATAGTGAAAAATGGCCCCAGAACACATCAGGGAATGGGTACCTGGAGCAGTGGGCAGGGCATGGCGCCCCCCACAGGCATGATGAAGGAGGTGGACACAACCTTGGTGTCTCCGTACCTGAAGCCCACCAGTGCTTGGGTGGGGCTCACACACTTCTTCACAACCCCTAGAAGGAATCAAAGAAAACATAATGTAAAGACAAATAGCATCGCTTTCCTTAGGCTTGTGCACATGTGGCCTGTTTAAATCAGTGTGCCCCTTTGATTTCTCCAGCAGATAATGTTGAGTACCATAGGATGCCTACTGGGTTGAACAACTCAAAGTGGTGACACACACAATGTCTGGTCTGGGCACCTGCTGAGATGAGAACCAGAGAGAATGCATGAGACCTGTTCATCCGACACTGTCAGCCTCTGTCCTGACAAGAATGTGGGTCCTAGAAATAAAGATCCTCATCCCGAACACCTACCACCTCATTTGTTCATTTACTTTGCCTCTGTTTTCTTCCATAATACTTAAAGATAGAAAATACACGTTGTTAATTAAATTGTGAAAGTAAAAAGGAAATATAAACTCCCATCCAAATCAGCTTTTCATCTGACTAGAGCGAACATACTCAGCTTCCCCAAAATGTACAGCTGAAAAGGAACAAAGAAAAAAGAGGTAAGGCTGGGCGTGGTGGCTCATGCCTGTCATCCTCACACTTTGAGAGGCTGAGGCAGGTGGATCACCTGAGGTCAGGAGTTCGAGATCAGCCTGGTCAGCATGGTGAAACCCTGTCTATACTAAAAATACAAAAATTAGGCTGGGCATGGTGGGCATCTGTAATCCCAGCTACTCGGGAGGCTGAGCAGGAGAATCGCTTGAACCTGGGAGGTGGAGGTTGCCGTGAGCTGAGATTGCGCCATTGTACTCCAGCCGATGACAAGAGCAAAATTCCATCTCAAAAAAAGAAAAAAAGAAAGAAAAAAGAAGTAAGAAGTTTCATTTTTAGTTATACTAAAGGAGTGCGTGATAGATACAAAAGGTTGGTGTAAAAGTCATTGTGGTTTTTGCCATTAAAAAGTGACCAAAACCACAATGACTTTTGCACCAGTCTAGAATATATACACACATATATATTATTGAATTATATAATTTTGTTATACATTTTAATTAATATAATTATTAGAATAAATTATTATAGGAAAGGAAAATACCTGTGTTAAAACGCCCATTTTTAATCATTTATATGACTTAAAATTTATCTTCCCATTAAAAAGGGATTCTAGACATGAGCGGGGAGATGATGACATTGGTCACCTCCCTGGCAGTATCAGCTGCTCACAAACCTTCATGGAGATGGAAGTGTGCATGTGCGTCCCGCCAGACTCCACAGCACGTGGGGCAGCGGCTCCCCGGTCCTGTGCCTGCTAAGCAAAGCCCCACGTCCTCTCATGGGGCAAAGAGACAGCTGCTGATTTTCATCTCGATCCCTGTGTATTGTTTTAAATGGCCAAAGGACGAATTTTTTTAAAAAAACACACACAAGCCAGCTTGCCATTATGTGTTTTCTTATTGGACTAAAATGTTTAATTTGGGGTTTGAAATATTTACACATTATTCACACATTTTCTATCATAAACGGACTTTACCCTTTTAATCAGAAAAGCAAATACTACCCTTTAGAAATTATTTCTATTCTGGAAACAAGAGCCATGCACTGTGCGCCCCATGTCCCTCCCATGGCCCCAGGGAAGGGTCTGGGCTGCCACCACAGCCACATTGGCTCTGGTGACCGTCTCCAAATTCTTAGCCTCTGGGACTTAGCAGTATCCCGTATCAAACCTGCTAGGCAGTTTTTCGGTTGTTTGCCTAAATGGAGAAGTTGCGACAGAGACTGCGTAGCTGACAAAGCCTACACCATTTACCATTGACTTTCTTCTTTGAACCTAAACTTTTTGGAATGTTATAATGACTTTCTTTTAGTTCTTTCAATTCAGTTTCCTTCTTTGTAGATGTGGGTCTTTGTTCATCTACAGATATAAGCACAGTTTCTCACTGTCTGTCTTCAACTTGGCCTCACGGGCCCCGCTGCGGCCACACACTGGGCGGCTGGAGGGCCCAGGACTGGCCTGTCCCACCACTGCTAAGTCTCTGTACCTGCTACTCCCCCTCATTAAGGAATTGCTACCATTTTTTGTGTCCTGATTCAAAAGCAGCTCCAATTTTTGGCTTCCCTTACCCTGTAGTTTTTCTCTCAGCCTCGAGAGGTGAGGTTGCATCTCCCAGCTCTAAAATCTCTGGGACCCGTTGGAAGACCTGAGCTCTGGAGGGTGGCCAAGCCGACGCACCTCCACTGCCTCCCCTCTTTCTCTGGGCGAAGGCTGGTAAGCCCAGTGCCTCCCTGGGAACTAGTCAGCTCCCTGCCTCAGTCAGAGGCTGTCCCATACTCAGCTGGGGGAAGGGCCTGCACTCCTACAGATGCCCTCAGCAGAAATGCCGCGGGTGCTCAGGGTCAGAGAACTGGTGTCACAATCTGAGTAAACAGTGGACATCGGTCTGTTTGGTGAGATGCATGAAGAGTTCTGAACCTTTGCTCCAAACAGGTTTTCTCAGGCTGGAGGCTGGATTTTATTTTTTTAAACCTTTGGCTCTACGAAGCTTTCGATATACCAAGCCCAGCTGAAATTCCACCTCTTCAGAAAGGCTTTTCGCCCTGCTCCAGCCAGCACGTCCCTCCAGCTGCCCACTCCTCGGCACTGTCGTTCTTCACGGTCCTCATGTTCGCTTCTCCCTCCAGTCTCGGAGGTTTCCTGTCTACGTGCCGTGCTGCCTTCTGCTGCTTTGACTTGCCGTGAAAGGTTCTGAGCTGCCGTGAAACAGAAAACAGCTCCCTCCTTTCCAGGAGAGGAGGCGAGGGCTTTATCCCTATCTCCCAGGAGGCGCTCTCATATGGGATGCCGAAAACCTCTTTCTGTGGAATTGACAAAGGGCTGTACATCATCACATGTAATCTACACAGCAAGCTTATGAAGGGTTTGTTTTAAATCCTGTTGGAGAAGACAGGGACACTGAGGTGCAGAGAAACAAAGTGGCTGTAGCTGTGTGGCCAACAGAGGCAAGAGGCAGAATTCATATGAATGAAAACGTAGAGTTTTCTGACCTGAACTCATGACACCTCAGAAAGCATTCCATTTTGTCCCCATTTTGTTTCATTATAAATTGTTTTTATGGCATAGTGCAGAAATCACTGTGGGTTTCCGGAAGGAAAATGCTGCTTCTCACTGAACAACAGGAAGGATGACCCAATTTCCACATATAATGATTTAAAATAAGGGTTGAAAATGCATCTTCCTCCTTGCCTTTCAGCATCCGGATGAGCCAGGCTATCACTCTGTACAACACAGTCATTTCCTCAACTGGATAACCCACACTGACCCCTGGAATAGCGTCGGCCACAGGGAAATCCCCACCACAATCCCAACGACGGGGGCAACCGCCAGTCCAGCCAGCTCAGCTGCGTGGACCTGGCCTCATGCACTGGACACTCCAGTCCAGTGACTCCAATCCTGCCTTCTGCTGAGGTGCATTTTAAAGTGAGCTGTTTTTTCAGTAAAAATGTTTAGGAGGTTTTGAACAACGGTCACCAGAAAAGGACTCACCAATAACGCCATGCCTGTGCTCTGCAAAATTCTATTTGGCCTTTTGTGTGTGTGTGTGTGTGTCAGAGAAAAGAGTGACTCACAGTGAACAGGTGATCTAAATTAACATCACCAGTGAGGGCAGGTGAGCATCATGCGCCTCTAGACAGGATGACCCAGAGGGCCGCAGCATCACTTAGGCAGTATCCTGGCAGGGAATGATAACCTGAATCTAATCTAACCCAAATTGAGGACCATTCTATAAAATAACTGGCCTTACACTTAAATAATGTCACTATCACGGAAGATAATAGGAAAGATAAAGAAGACTAAAGAGACATGCCCACTAAATGCAATACACAATTCTGGACTGAGACCTGTACTGGAGAAAATAAATGTGACAAAGGCCATTATTGCGACAATTAATGAAATCAAAATATATAGATTAAATAAAAGTACTATAACAGTGTTACATTTTTTGAATTTTCTAATTTTATTGTGGTTATGTTGAGAGATTATTTTTACTCTTAATACACGCTGATATGTTAAGGGATAAAATAATGATAAATATTACCTAATTTTTAAGAGTTCAGAAAACATAAGGGGTGTGTGTGTGTGTGTGTGTGTGAGAGAGAGAGAGAGAGACAGAGAGAATAAAATAAAATATGTGATAAAATGTGACCAAATGTTAAAAATTGGCAAATCTGGGTAAGGAGTATACAGGGGCTCACCGTAGTATTCTTGCGACTTTTCTATATGTTTGAATTTTTAATAAAAAAAAAACTATAAAAGTAAAGTTATTCCCAATTAAGGAAAGATCAGGTGACTGGGGAGAAAGGGCCCGAAAACTAAGCTCATGGAGATAACCCATGCACTGCCACTTAATTTGGCTGAGTCAAAGTTTACTACTTAGACACTAATCAAAATTACCAATTATATGCCCAAATTCAACTATTTCCTTCAAGCTGACTTATTGTAGTTTAATTACGTTGCAAATTAAAAACTCCCACTTGGTCAGATCCCATGTGGCTATTGGGAGTACAGTATGTGCTTTCTGCTTCTAATTGCACATGAAAAAAATTTTCCGTTGTGGCCTCAGGCATTGCACGTAGCCATGGTATTAGCCCTGTCTCCTCGGCTCCCCCAGTAGGTCTTTAGAATTTTCTCATCACACAAGGATGGTGCTGGGTAGAAGTTCGAGCCATTCTACATTTCTCTGGGGCCCTGGCCAGCAAACTGACCCCAAGCCCTAACCCAACCACTAAGAATCCAGTCCCTTTTCTCATTTTCTTTTCTTTCTTTCTTTTTTTTTTTTTTTTTGGAGATGGAGTCTCACTCTGTCACCAAGGCTAGAGTGCAGTGGTGTGATCTCAGCTCACTGTGACCTCTGCTTCCTGGGTTCAAGCAATTCTCCTGGCTCAGCCTCCTGAGGAGCTGGGATTACAGGCATGCACCACCACGCCTGGCTAATTTTGTATTTTTAGTAGAGATGGGATTTCACCATGTTGGTCAGGCTGGTCTTGAACTCTCGGCCTCAGGTGACCTGCCTGTCTCAGCCTCCCACAGTGCTGGGATTACAGGCATGAGCCATTGTGCCCAGCTCCCCTCTTAGCATTATCATTCGACTGTCAGTTTAGCAAGAAAACCCTCTCCAAGGCTCAAATTCAGAAAATCAAAATTTCACAAGTAGGGGTGGCCTCCTACAATCACCGCTTAGAAAATCTGTGCCCCAGAGAAATGAAAGATTTTCAGTCCTTCTTGTAAAGAAGGGTGTCATGTCTTAGCCTACACGCTCATCCCAAGTGCTGGGATCCGTATTTACTCTCATCCAGGCAACTCTCAAGCACATTTATCACATTTCAAATAACTTGTCCTCGTTGTCAGTTGTACATATGTGCCTGCTAGAAACCAAAAATGGTGCTGAAGTATTTTTTCCCACCTAAAAGATTATTCATTTAAATTTAAATAATAATTATTCTTTTAACTGCTGGTAGATAGATCATGCCTATGAAAGGCCAGCTATGTATCTGCAATGTAATCATTTTTTTTTTTTTAGAAAGAGTCTCACTTTGTCACCCAGGCTGGTGTATAGTGGCACAGTTTCAGCTCACTGCAACCCCTGCCTCCCAGGTTCAAGCTATTCTCCTGGCTCAGTCTCCTGAGTAGCTGGGACCACAGGTGCATGCCATCATCCCTGGCTAATTTTTTTTTTTTTTTTTTTTTTTTTTTTTTTTTTTAGTAGAGACGAGGTTTCACCATGTTGGCCAGGGTGGTCTTGAACTCTGACCTCAAGTGACCTGCCAGCCTTGGTCTCCCAAAGTGCTGGGATTACAGGTGTGAGCCACTATGCCCGGCCTGCAATGTAATCTTTTGCCTAACAGAGCTTCCTCAAGGTTTTCTTCCAGTTCCCTTTCCCTACAAACCCTTCCCATACTTTCGATGATGACCTTTGTTGTTATGTCTCCCAAATCTCCATTTCCAGACTCTAGACCCACCTCTCCAACTGCTTCTCTGACATCTTCAGCTGGGCATCTCCTAGGCACTTGCAATTCATCATGTCCCAGACACATCTCATTGTCTTTCTGTCCACACCACCATCTCCTGTAGGTACTACTATCTATCTACCGCCCTACGCCAGGGACCAGAGAGACACCCTAACCCTGTGTTATCCACTCTTCACACAGCAGCAGGAGAGAGCTTTTTAAAACTTCAAATGTGATTGTGTTTCTCACTGCTTTAAGTGTGGCTCTCATTGCCCTCAGCGTAAAGTGCAAATCCTAAACATGACCCTTTATGCATGGCCCCATGCTTACCTCTCTGAAGAGCTTTATTATTTCCACCCTTCCTTCTCATTCTAAGTTCCAGCCGGAATCAATTTTATTTTTCCAGACATAGCTGTTTCTTCATTGCTAAGTCTTCACACATATTGTCACCATCCATGAAACTCCCTTCATACCTCCACCCCAGCAGTTCCATGCTGAACTGCATCTGGCTGATTCCTTCAGGAATCACATCCCCCAGGGAGCCTGGGGCAAACCTCCGAGGCCCAGCTACCTTGGGCATGTGCACTCCAGTCTGAGGCCGGGGCACCACTGTTGTCTCTGTTGGAACTCTCTTTCCCAGATAATCTCATGGCTTGCCCCACCTCCTTTAAGTCCTTATTTACATGTCACCTTCCCCAGGAGCTCTTCATTAACCACCAAATACAGAATCACAACCCTCACCTTGACATTCTCAACCCCATTTGTAGCTTGATTTTTCTCGACGGCACTGTATCTGACATACCGCATATTTTACCTATTTATTTCATTGCTTGTCTGTCTCCTTTAAGATGTAACCTCCATAAAGCAAGAATGTTCATCTGCTTGCTCATAACATTAGACCAATACTTTCAAAATATTATATAAATGCAATGCAGCAGATGGGCAATAAAATTTGTTTGCTAAAAAATGAGATATTAAAATAAATGCATTTTTCTGGCTACCTTTTTTTTGTCCGAAATACATATGCTCGTTTCATGAGCTGGCCTGAGCTATTCCACTTCTTTTCTCACGACATGTCAGTGTTCTAGCAAAAGCACAGGTTGAAACTTCTTGTCCCCAATATCAAATTATTTAACAAAAGTCTCACAAAATAAATTTTAAAACTACCTGGAAAATAAAAACCATTTTCATCACATCTTGCAATAACCTTCTGTCCTTTGAGGGGATCTGGTCTTTTTGATTTGGTTTTCTTTGTTGGATTTCCTTGCAATTTCTGTTGCTGATAAAGACAAAACAGTAATAATTGATGAGAAAAAGTGAATGCAGATAGTGTAAATGATAAACACTGGGTAGCCTAGTAATATGATTTGGCTCTGTGTCCCCACCCAAATCTCATGTTGATTTGTAAGTTCCAATGTTGGAGGTGGGACCTGGTGAGAGGTGGTTGGATCATGGGGGTGGTTTAGCACCATTCTCCTAGTGCTGTTCTCGTGATAAAGTTCCCAAAAGATATGGTTGTTTGAAAGTGTGTGGCACCTCCCCTTTCACTCTCTCTCATTTGCCGTGTGAAGATGCAGTTGCTTCCCCTTTGCCTTCTTCCATGAATATAAGTTTCCTGGGGCTTCCCCAGTTATGCCTCCTGTACAGCCTGTGAACTGTGAGCCAATTAAACTTCTTTTCTTCATAAATTACCCAGTCTCAGGTAGTTCTTTATAGCAATGTGAAAGCAGACTAATATACCTGAAATTTTCTACTGAGAAACACATTACAGAAGAACTATAGAATATCCCTGTACTATATACATACTTTGGAGCACTTTCTACTTTATGTTAATTAAACATTACTATTTTGGCAAGGGCAATTTCTGCCCTCCACAATTTTTATACTTTAGTTCAAGGTACAAGGAGAACTGAATGAGTAATTAAAGAAAAGGGAAATAAAGAAAAATTATATATACAACTAGAATTTTTTGACAGTCTCAAAGCTGGAGAGCAAAGACTACACCAGCACCATGACCAGTACTGCTGCCCTCCTGGAATAGTTAGAAGTAAAGGGGCCCTTCAACAGGAAAGTCCACTAGCAACTTTGAGAGAGAGAGGCACTGAAACACAGTGGTTTACAGAAATCCAATATCCCAGCCCACCTCTTCAGGGCAAAGAAAAACCTTTGTGATCACTGTCACAAAAAGAGGAAAGAAGTCCATGAGCTGAGATTGGCTAATAAATGATTGGCTAATATCTTCATTTCTTATATCTTTTGGTTGATGCAACAGTGAATGCTAGAAGTCAGTGGGGCAGAGCTTCCCAAGTTCTGAGAGAAAATAACTTTCAATCTAGAATTCTAAACCCAGGCAAAGTATCAATCAAATGGAAAAACAGACATTTCTGGTCATATTCCTAAGTAGAAACTTTCCATTCCCATTCATCCTACCTTAGGAAGTTACTTGAAAATGTACTTTTCCAGTAGGAATGACACATCTGCATAGGTCATAGACAGCAGGAAGTCTCCCAGGAAAAAAGAGGACTTAGAAATCTTAGAAATATATGCATACATATGTACAAGAATGCATATATACATATACATATATATATATATATATATATATATATATATAAATGCAAAAGTAATTATTTCAACAAGTAACATAATTTTAAATACTGAGGGAGAAAAGGTAAAGAAACCCTTTTGCTTGATGCTATTAACATTCTTCAATTGGTCAGCATATCACATAAGACCTTAAGGAAGTCCTGAACTGTGACTTGTCCCAGTATTTAACAATGTTTATCCAATCAGAATAATACAAATACTTTTTTGTGTTCTTTTAAATAAAAAATTTTAAACATGTACTATGAACCTTTGGAAAGAGCACAATATTGACAACACAAAGGCTTAAGTGCAGCTCTTGGAATATTGGAATGAAACGGGAAAGAAAAACCAGAGCTATTACCACTACGTGAACTCAGGAATTGAAGGAGTTATAAATCTTGACAGATCAAGAAGTAGAGGCTTATGTATATTAAATAAAATGTTACAAATGCAGCCAATAGAATAAAAGTTAATGTAAATACCCAATATTAGGAGCAGGAGACAAAGAGGGGCGGGATGAGAGTAAAATCATCATTTTTTTTCATACGGTGGAATAAAAAATTTAAATATAATAAACCATAAAATAGAGAAATATGTGAAGCATGTACTATAATAAACATTAATAATTAATCTGGAAATCTCACAGAGGAAAGAGAGGGAGCAGAGAATGCCTTTATTTTCTATATGAATGAATCAAAGTCCTGGACTACTCCTAAGATACATATGCACAGAAAACATTCAAAGCAGCACAGCAAAGGCTTTGAGAACTGAACTACAATGTAAACCGTTGTCCAAGTCCCAGATTACCAGTACAAACCTTGAACAATGCACGCAGACTTAAGCTGTGAGTAGCACAGCCTTCTAAAACTGAACCGACATGGAAACCACTGCCCATAGATGGTAAGGCAGAGCTTGCAGTCTAAACCTAACCAAATCTGATAGAAAAAAAAAAAAAATTAAATCTCCTTCAGAGATTTTAAACAGGATCCAGAATATTAAAACATAACATTCAAAAGGTCCATTATATGATAAAAAAAATGCAACAGGCAAAAAAGCAAGGAAATATGACCGATTCTCAAGGTAAAAGGCAATCAATAGTTTCCCAAGTTGAGAAGATTTGATATTGGAATGCTCACATAAAGATGTTAAACTAGCAATTATAACCATAGTCTATGAGAGGGTAAATACTCTAGAAAAAAATGGCAAGGTAGTTTTTTGTTTCAACAGAGAAATAGGAACTATTAAATACAAATGGAAATTTTACAAGTAAAATATATAGTATCTGGAAGGACTCAGTAGTAGAAATGACAGAATTGATACAACAGAGAAAAGAGACAGTGTACTCTAAGACAAAACAGTAGAATGTATCCAATTTGGAGAATACAGAGAGCAGGAATCTTTAACAACAAACAAGGTTCTTTTCCTGTTACAGATAATTTCTTCAAAGACCAGCTCAGTTATAACCTTTCTGGAAAGGTGTCACCCCCAGGAAATATCAGAAAAAGAAGGAAAAGATTGCTTTGTTATTTCCAAATGGCACTACATGAATCAAAGTTGGAGTGAATGTCATGGCTATGTCTACTACATGTAGAAACCAGTAGCATCATTTTGACTTGTAAAGTCCAACTCTAAGGTTCCATTTCTTTATGCTTGATGACTGACCATTAATAGAAATATCCAATCCCTATTCGTCTCTCTAAAATCCCCAATAGCCTTCATTCCATCATCCAAAATAGTCATCATTTTTAATTCCCAATCAATTTGAGGACAAATGTTCTTGTAAAATATATTTAAAATGAATTACTAGAAAAATAAAATAGCAGAGAAAGAGCTTGAGTTCTAAGTAAAATCTGTTTAAGAATTCTGAAAAGCAAACACGCAGTGGTTAAAAAGGTTGAGACAGAAGACAAGAATTCAAAGTACCACCACACTAGTGGTAGATCTACCATTTATTCCCTCTAGTGTCTCCTGGCCTGGTTCAAAAGACAGAAGTAGGTACAAGAGTCCAGATAGAGAAAGTGCTAGGAGAATCCTAGAGTCCTAGATTAATAAATGGGAAAAGGAAATCCTAACATTCAGAAAGAATACAAAAATTGTCCTCTCTTTTTATTCTCCATTCTCACACCTCAGTCCCCAAGCAATCGTGTGGCAGTGCAGCAATGTTGTGAGTCCAAAACTCTGAAGGATAACCTTCCTGTCTGATTAGCAGCATGGTGATTTCGAGAAGGTGGAGTGCAATCCCATTGTTCTCTCTCTCTCTCTCTTTCTCTCTCCCCCTCCCCCACAATTTCACTCTCCACCCTCTGTCTGGCTCCAGATACAAACATAATAAATAGAAAACACTGAGTTGGGTATATATTAATAATCCCAGATTTCTGGCTGGAGAACTGAAAAGAGAAGCCATAGGGAAGTAGAAATTACTGGAAAGATCATTGATATAGAAAAGGGAAGGTGAAGCACTAACCCAGCACCAAACCAGACAAATATATCACAAGAAAAGGACACCACAGACCTATATTCCCCATGAATGTAGATGCAAAATCCATAAGAAAATATAGGAAATAAATCCAGTAACATATAAGAAAGATTATACTCAATGGCCAAGTCGGATTTGTCCCAGGAATGCAACACTGGTTTAACACTCATATTAATAGAACAAAAGATAACAATTAATGTAATAAACCATGTTAATAGGATAAAGAATAGAACCACATGGTTGTTTCAATGCATGGAGAAAGAGTATTTGACAAAATCCAACACCCTTTTATGATAAAAACTCAACAAACCAGGAATAGAAGAAAACATTCTCAATTTGAGGAAAGACATCTATGAAAAGCCTACAGTAAACATGATACCCAGTTTAGAAAAACTAGATGACTTGCCCTTAAGATCAGAAACAAAGTAAGGCACTCTCACCACTTCTATCCAACATTGTATTTGAGGTTCTAGCCAGTATTATCAGGCATAAATAAATAAATAAATGTCTCCAGAATGGAACAAATAAAACTGTCTTTATTTGTAAATGACATGATTCTATATTTGAAAACTCTAGGGAATTCACCCAAAAGCTACTAGAATTAATCAACAAGTTCATCAAGATGTCATGTTACAACATAAATGTAACAAAAGAAATCAACTGTATTTCTATGTATTAGTGCTGAATACTCTGAAAAAAAAAATTAAGACAAAATTTTATTTATAATAGCATCAAAAAAGAATATATTTAGGAATAAAATTGTCAAAATAAGTGGAAGATTTATACATTTGAAACTAAAAAAAAATCATCGAGAGAAATTGAAGATCTAATAAATAAAGTAACATACCATGTTCGTGGATTGAAAGACTTGATATTATTAAGGTAGCCATTTTTTCCCCAAACTGATATATAGACATTATAATTTATATTAAAATACCAGCAAGTTTTTTGTTTGCTTGTTTTTGGATTTTCTTTTTGTTGTTATTGCAGAAATTGACAAGTTGAATCCAAAATTTACATATGTAAATGCAGAGGGCCCAGATGACTGAAAAAAGTTTTGAAAAAAAAACAAATTTAGAGGACTTGCTTTTTTTTTTTTCTTTTGGAACTTACTATACCTACTGTCATCAAGAAATTGTGGTACTGACATAGGACAGTCATATGGTAGTGAAATAGTATGGAGTCCAGAAATGAATCCTTATATTTATAGTCAATTG